TTCATTAGAAGAAAATGAATAACTCTGAGTTTTAGGTGTAGCAGGGGGTTAAGAGTGAAACTGGGAAGCGCTTAAACTCTTGATAATGTAATTTTCCTGCAATTTTTCAGCAGTTCTGATTATGAAAAGCTATAAAAAGGTAAGAGAAGACCATGGGAGTTGATTATATCGATGTTGGAAAATTCACTAAGTGTTTTCCACTTTGAAAGAAGTATACTTTTCTGCTCAACGATTTTGAACTTAGCTATGTCTTTGGTTCATTAAATGTAACAGAAGTGAGAATACACCAATTATGCTTTAAGAAACACTGAATCTTACAATGGATCTCTTGTTTTTTACTCCTATCCTATTCTGTTCTGTTCTGTTCTACTCCTATTCTATTCTATTCTATTCTATTCTATTCTATTCTATTCTATTCTATTCTATTCTATTCTATTCTATTCCATTCCATTCCATTCCATTCCATTCCATTCCATTCCATTCCATTCCATTCCATTCTATTCTATTCTATTCTATCTTTTTATTGTCTATTTTTAGAATAAACATGTCTCACAAAGGAACTGCTCTTTAAGCCTGCAACTCAGAATGAAAAACATATGCATTCATTCATCTATGGATAGACACCTTGGGTGCATACATCTTATCAAATTAGTGTTTTCATTTTCTTTCAATAAATACTCAGAAGTGGAATTTTTGGGTCATATACTATATCCATTTTAAGTCTTTTGAGGAACTTCCATACTGTTTTGCATTGAGGCTGCACCAGTTTGCAGTCCCACCAGTAGTGTGCAAGGATTCCCTTTTCTCCACATATCACCAACACATGTTATTTGTTGACTTTTTGATAATAGCCATTCTGACTGGTGTGAGGTAATATCTCATCATGGTTTTAATTTGTATTTCCCTGATGATTAGTAATGTTGATCTTTTCATATGTCTGTTGGCCATCTGCATGTGTCTTCTTTGGAGAAATGTCTTTTCATGTCCTCTGCCCATTTTTCAATCAGAATGTTTATTTTTTATTATTGAGTTATATGAGTTTCTTACACATTTTGAATATCAATCCATTATTGGATATGCCATTTGCAAATATATTCTCCCATTTAGTGGATCGTCTTTTTGTTTTGTTGGTTTCCTTTGCTGTGCAGAAGATTTATTAGTTTGATATAGTCCCATGTGTTTATTTTTGCTTTTGTTTTCCTTGCTTGAGAGGATGCGTCCAAAAAGATACTAACTTAATGTCAGATACTTTATTTCCTATGTTTTCTCCTAGATGTTTTATGGTTTTAGGCCTTACATTTAAGTCTTTAACCCATTTTGAGTTATTTTTGGTGTATATGGTATAAGAGAGTGGTTCAGTTTCATTTTTTTGCAAGTAGCTGTCTGGTTTTCTGAATACCACTTGTTGAAGAGACTGTCATTACTTTAGAGTATATTTTTACATCTTTTCTTATAGTTAGTTGACCATGTAATTTGTTCCATTGATCTCTGTATGTGTTTTTATGCCAGTGCTATACTGTTTTTGTTATTATAGCTTTGTAGTATACTTGGAGGTCCATTCATAGATGAATGGATAAAGATGTATTGTGTGCATAGAATATTATTCAGCAATAAAAAATAATGAAATATTGTCATATGCAACAACATGGATGGATCTAGAGGATATTATGCTAAGTGAAATACCATATGGTTTCACTTATATGTGGAATGTAAAACCAAAATAGACTCATAGAAACAGAGACCAAAGTGATGGTTATCAGAAGGGAGGTGATGTGGGGATGAGTGAAAAGGGAAAGTGGAATATATTTATATAATATTGTGATAAATTTACATAGTGACAGATGATTACTGGAGTTGGTGGGGTGATCACATTTTATGATATGGAGGTGTAAGATCACTGTATTGTACACATGAAACTAATATAAATCAATATAGGATTATATGCAACTACATTTAAAAAATAAATTAAAAAAAAAAACTTGCTTCCAACAATGTGGCCGTCTAGATATTCTGAAAGACAATCAAAAAAGAACAACTAAGTTCCGGATAAAAGATAACTTTTGGTACATTCCTAGGCTTTCTAAAAATAAACATCTTACATTTCTAAAAATAGAAGAAAAATTATTATCTAGAGGAGGGGCTGGCAAACTACAACCCTTAGGCCAACTCCACATTTCCATTTGTTTTTGTAAATAAATTTTTATTTTAACAAAGTGTCATACTCATTTATTTATGTGTTGTTTCCTGTGACTGCTTTCAAGTTAATGACAGAGTTGAATTGTTGCAACAGCGAGCATATAGTCTGTAAAACTGGAAATACTTTCTATCTGATTCTTTACAAGAAAACAACAGTTTCAGGAATATTATAGTGTTTCTGTATATTCAGCATTCATTTTCCCCTATTATTCACCACTTACACTACTATGGTACATTTTTTACACATTAATGTATTAATATTGATACATTATTCTTAACTAAATTTCATACTTTATTAGAATCTTTTGAGTTTTTACTTAATGTCCTTTCTTTGTATCGAGATCTCATCCAGATATCATGTTACATTTATGAGTTGTGTATCTTTAGATTCCTCTAGACTGTGATGGTTTCTCAGATTTTCCTTTTTTTTTTTTTTTTTTTTGATGATGTTGACAAAACAGGTATGCTGGTCATATAGCTTGTATATTTTCTTTCAGTTTGGGTTTATCTGATGTTTTCATCCATGATTTTACAATGATTATAGGTTTTGGGGAGAAAGGCCAGCAAGATAAAGAGCCATTTTCGTCATATATCAAGGATCTCTATTATCAACCTGTCTGATCATTGATGATATTAACTGGCTGGGGTAGCATTTGCCCAGTTTCTCTACTGTAAAGTTTCTCTTTCATCCTTACCCTACCCATAACCCCTTTCATACTTTTTAGAAGGAAGTCACAATGCAAATCCCACAATTAAGGGATGTGATAGAAGTTACACATAATTAGTTGAAATTCTTCTGTATAGGATATTTATCTATTTTCCTCCATTTAATTATTTATTCAATCATTTACTCATATCGGCGTGGATTTGTGGGTATTTATTTTATACTGTTGGTTATAATTCAGTACAATTTTATTTATTTTGTTGCCCAAATTGAATTCTCAGGTATTTTAGTCATATAAAAAATTCTATTGCATTGGTTCAAATTATGTGCAATTATAACCCTCATAAATAAATGCTGAGCACTTCCTAGTTCTAACATGGTATCAATTAATTAGTTAGTTAACAAGCATTTATTAAGTGCTTCTAAGTATCTAACATTTGGCCTGAAAGCATTATTCAGGAGATTTAATGATTTGGAAATCTTAAACACTAAGGAACCAGAAATCTCTAGCTTTCTTAGAAGCATGGAACATAAGCTACACTGGCTATCCTTGTGTACCTCACCATATGGTACTATCCTAGTTCTTCATTTCTAGCCCACACACACTTTAAAACCACTTTGAGAAAGATTCCAAAAAATATCAAGAGGGTTAAAGAGTTTATTTGAATTTTAAGCTAGATCTCAACTCCCTTCCTTCTCCAAGGAAGTTACAGAAATGTATGGACAAGCTGTGGGGGGGGAATGTGATTGGTCCAAACTTCAGTCAGGCCAATTTGGAATATGTTGGTTTACCAAGAACTAAAGTTAGAAAGATAAGTGAGTTTATTCTTATTTAGTTACATGTGGGTGACACCAACTATGAGTTTTATAAATTATGAAATTAAAAAGCTTTTATTATATAATTTAAGGTTAAATTTAAAAAATCATGACAAAATGGTTATTTAAGAGATAAATAACAATTGTTGCCTTCAATGATTTAGATTCTGTTTCTTATTCCACCACAACTAATCTTAACATTTTTCAAGACTCTTCATTTTTCTATAAACTGTTATACTTTTTTTAGAAAAATTAGCTTTGATTCTTAAAGATTCTTGAAGAGGGTGTTCAGAAATTCCTAGACTTTTCTCAGAAAAGTAAGAAAACAAACCTTTTTTATTTCTCCTTAGAGCTGACCTTCTAGGTTAGGAATTAAGGATATAATATTCTACTAAAAGCCCATAGTAATATTTTCATTATCTTGTGTGTCATCTGATTTAGATAAAGGAAGCACTGACATTTAAAAATAAATGTAGTATAGGAAAAAAGTTATCAATAGAATGAATATAGAAGAATAGAAGAGATAAGCCAAAACAATTTTATGTAAAAAATAATTTTTTCCTTTTGTTGTTGTTTTATTTTATTGGCAAATATCACGTTATTTAAAACTTTAATTTATAGAGCTTACATTAACTGCATTATGTGTAAGACAGAAGAAACTCTAAAGTATAATTATTTTAAATTAGCTGAAGACACTCAAACATAAATAACACTCGGGAGTATTCATAGACATCTGGAGATCAGTTCAGTTATGGCCAAAATTTACATTAGATTAAGGTAAACTCCAAATTAAACTATTTTCTAAAAAGTGAAAAAATTCAGGAAGGAAATAATAGGTATAATTATGTTCCCAAATTTACTCATTTATTTTTGTTCTTTTTCCCACTGTTTTCAAAGTTCATATATATAATAAAGGTACTAGTAAATGAGAAAAAAGCTAACATAACAATAAAGAATTTGAAATGCTTGATTATTTTTAATGAGTCTCTGACAAGTCAAACTATCTCTGTATTACTATATCATTCTATAGATTATAGCTTTGTGTAATATTTGTAAAAATAAGGAAAAAGAGGAGAAGTAGAAAGAGCAGGAGGAGGAGATAGAGAACATGAAAGAGAAGGAAAGGAAGAAGATAAAGAAAAAGAAAAAGAAAACACAAAATGAAAAGATAATAGCAGAAAAAAATCCTTTAGGTTTCTTTATATGAAGATCTCAATAATCATGTGAACTTGACTTTCAGATGACTCCTTCTCTACCAATCTCATATAAGAAACTTTGATGAATGATGAGAAGAAAGCTTTAATCTAAGATATTTAAGAAAACTCTCCTTAGATCTCAGTCCTTAATTTCAGTGTAGACCCCTTCATTTGCTGCTCATAGTGCCTGTCAAATTTCTCATTCAGGGCTACTGTAAAGTGATTCTTCCAGTCCCCTGTTATCCCTGTAACAAAAGAGAAAAACAATGCATATCAGGTCTTCAAGCCAGAATCATGAAGTTTTCTAATATTCATCATTGTCATTAATATCTAATCAAATTTTATTCTTGTGACTATCAATTATAAGAACAAAATGTATACCATAACTAACATACATATTTGAGCTTGCACAGAAGTATTTGTTGTGATTGTTAAAACAACAACAAACAGCATTTTTTTTTCTTTGACTCTTCCCTCTAATGTTACTTCACTGAATTTTCTTCTCCAATTTCCTCTCAAATGTTGGGGCTTCTAAGATGAGATCCATGTTTTACCCATTTCCAAAGTATTAAATATTATCTTCATGTTGATAACACTCAAATCCAGATTTTTGTTTCCATATCCAAATGTCTACATGATATTGTCACGTGGATTCCATACAAGTATCCCAAATTCAACTAGTTCAAAAATTAATTCATTTTCTTCCCCATCAAATTGTGTTTTATTTATAATAGTCTGATTAATGGTAACACTAGGTATCTAGGGCATAAACTTGGAAGCTGTCCCCTCGACCCTTACATCTATTCTTTATTTATATTCAGACTTCGTTCGTACTCATTACCTTCACTCCATTTCTGCTGCACTGGCAGAGAAACTTCTCAGTGTTTTCCACCTGGTTTATTACAGTAGTCTAGCAGGCCCTTCTCTTTTGCTTTTCATCACATCCAACCCTCCCCTGGCAGAAGGAAGTCACTTGTATTTTAAATTAGTCAATAATTCACTTACCCCTTCCGGTCAAGAAGCTCTAAACTTTCCCAGTGAAATAATCCAAAAAAGCAAAAGAGAGAAAATTTGTGTCCTGGGTAGGGCCTCAGGGTATAGCAGTAAGTAGCCCTTAAGAAGCATGACAATTAAATTCTAATGTTTTATCTTAAAAATATATGTGCACGGTATGGGAAAAAAGACTGAGATAATCTAAGAAATGGATCATTAAAATGTAATCTGTGTGTTAACTCTCTTTTCAGGGGTTCCCTGTTTTTACCCAGTGGTAGGTTTGTTATTCCTATTATTTTAAAAATTCCCTAGCCTTCTCACTTACAATTTAATTCAAAGAGCAAGATTTTATCTATTCTGTTTCTAAAAAAAAAAAAAAAAGATATTTTCTCACTTTTTCACTTTTTTCCTCAGTACATAACAGTATCAGTAAGACCAGATGTCCTAATACTCTACATATCCTACATGCCTTTGGATTTATAAACTGACTATATCTCATCAGACTATGCCTTTTCTCAATAGAATGTCATTTCATTGCATTTTGATTTTTTGCTAAACAGAGCCATATTTGCTACTATGGGCTTTGAAACTTAGTATTTTTTATCAGTTTTATTGTATAATTGACATATAAAGAACTGTACATATTTAATATATATATAATTTGATGAATATGGACATTTGCCACTTAGTCTTAAAAAATGCCTGCCACTTGGTCAAGGAAAAACTGACTAATTATTCAAAGCTTTTTTCCTCATCTCAGATAATAATAAAAGCTCATTTCTGAGTCTCTGATTAAAATGTAAAGATAATTTGAATTTTTAAATTATATATGTTTATATAACATACATGGTAGAGCATCAAGGCACACAGGCTTAATAAATGATAGTAGAATGTGCTATTAGTGCTGGGGTTGAGGCTGTAGTGACTGTTGGTTACTTTAAATATAATATGCTGCATATTCTAAGTAATCATCAGTAATAGCAAGTTATTATTAGTGTTAGTAATAGTATTAGAGTTTTATGCCTCTGAAAAACTGGTAACTCAATAGAGTACTCAAATGTGAAATAGCTCTGAAGAAAACAGAATCCACAGGAATAAATAATCTTCAATAGGTGTTTGCCTATAGCTATTTCAACTTGTGACTTTTTATAGCAATAGAGGCTAATCGCATGATTAAATCACCTTTTCTCATGAAAGGCGATATTTTTTGGTTCATGACTTCATCCGGTAATGTTGTGTAATTGGTAAATGGATTGTTTTTCATCTCTTGGAATGAAGTATGTTGTACAATTTTGTCCACAAGCTCCTCTGATGCTTCCTTTCCAAGGAATTGTATCAATTTTATCACCTCTCTTCTGATATCCTAGAGAGAAAAAATAATTGTTTTGAAGACTCAATTAATAAAAATTGGATACATTACTATTTGAATTAAAAAAGGGAGAGAGAGAAAGATTTATCATTTTTCCCTCCACTGGTATTGGAATTGGGCTTCTATTGAGGAAAAATACTTCTCGGGGAAGTGGTATTTTTTTTAACTTCTCTAAGCATAATTTTCCTCATTCATAAAAGACATAAAAGACACTTCACACCATATAATTTCTTACACCATATACAAAATACCACTTTCTTACACCATATACAAAAACCACTTTCTTGTATCATATATAAAAAATAAACTTAAAAAAGAACAAATACTTAAATGTAAGATTTGAAATAATAAAACTTTTACAAGAAGCTATTAAACTCTTTGACATGAGTGCTAGCAATACTTTTTTGGATATGTCATCTGTTAGGCAAGGGGAACAAAAGTAAAAATAAACAAATGGGACTACATTAAACTAAAAAGCTTCTGTGCAGTGAAGGAAACTATCAACAAAATGAAAAGACTGAATGGATGAAGATATTTCTAAATAATATAGTCAATAAGAGGTTAATATACAAAATATATAAAGAACTCATGCAACTCAACATTGAATACGAACAATCTGATTAAAAACTGGGAGAAGACATGAATGAATAGACATTTCTACAAAAAAGACATACAGATAGCCATAGACATCAAAAGATTCTAAATATTATTAATGATCAGAGAAATGCAAATCAAAACCACAGTGAGACATCATCTCATACTTGTCAGAATGGCTATTACCAAAAAGTCAACAAATAACAAGTGTTGGCAACTATGTGGAGTAAAGGGAACCCTCATGCACTGTTGGCGGGAATGTAAATTGGGATACCCATTAAGGAGAACAGTATGGAGACTTCTCGAAAAATTAAAAATAAAACTACCATACAACCAGTGATTTCACTTTTAGGTATATATCTGATGAAAATGAAAACACTAATTCAAAAACATATATGCACCTCTATGTTCATTGTAGCATTATTTACAATAGCCAAGATATGGAAACAATATGAGTGTCCTTTGATAGACAAATGGATAAAGATGTGGTACACATACACACACAAGAATATTACTCAGCAATGAAACAAGGAAATCTCACCATTTGTGACAGCATGAATGAAACTAGAGGGTATTATATTAAGTGAAATAAGTCAGAGAAAGACAAATACTGTATAATTTCACTTACATGTGGAATCTAAAAAAAAAATGAACAAATAAAAGAAACAGATATAGATGCAGAGAACAAACTGATGGATACTAGAGGTGAGGAGAGTGGGGAGATGGGTGAAAAAGGTGAAGATGAGTAAGAGGTACAAACTTCCAGTTATAAAACAAATAAGCCATGGGGATGTAGTGCACAGCACAGGGAATATAGTCCATAACTTTGCATATTGATAGATGGTTATTAAACTTCATAGTGTTCATATTGTAAGGTATATAAATGTCGAATCACTGTATTGTACACCTGAAACTCATATCATACAGTATGCCAACTATACTTTAATAAAATTTTTTAAAAAGATACTTCAAAGATTATTGGAACACTAAATGAGATGATGTTTGTAAAATACTTATTGCAGACTTTGATGCATAGTACATGCTTAATAAATAAATACCTATGAATATTTATATACACTCTCAAAGACTACAGTCCCCTGTGATAGATCAAGTTTTGAGTTGAAAATATGCAGGCAAATTCAATTTTTCTCCTAATTTATTGGTGTAACTAGTGAAAAATGAAATAGAAAGATTAAGAAAATGTGTAAAAAGTCAAATATTCAACATGTAAAATCATCTGTAATATATGAACTATAGCTACAAATATCTCCATCTCTATCTATGTCATTCCTACAGTGTACTCTATTATCTAGATTAATCACTCGAGGCAATTATTTATAATACAAGCTATAATGCTAATTCTGGTGTGTAGTTTCCTCTACATAGAATGCTGTTCTCAAATTCTCTGTCTTACCATTATAGCTTGCCTATTAAACTTCAGCATAAGTATCACCTTCTTTGGGATGATTTCTTTGACTATTCCAATTTGAGTTAGATAACTGTTTTCACTCCCATAAATTTTCATATAAGTCTATTGTGCTATATCATTATTCTCATAATATTTTATTTACTTGTCCATCTTCCACAAAAAAAAGGTTGTGTCTCTATGTATAATGCTTACATGTCCTATTCTGTTTCTGTTTGATATATTGTAGAAACAAGAGAACATTTGCTTATTTATTCTTAGGCTCCTTATTGATTCAGATATAAAGCAAATCTAAACCTGGTAATTATTAACCAAAATGGGGAGTGAATTGACTTAAACAATTTTTTTTCCTTTGAGGTGGGGCACAGGTTGAGATGATTGGATTAACTAATAAATTTTGTTTGTGTGCCTTTTAAATTTACTGTCTTCAATACTCTAATTACAGAACATGGTATTAGATAACAATAACTACAGATGATGGCTGTTTCTCATTCAAATGTGTTCTAGTGTTAAATTCTATAAAGAAATTATAATTCAACTTCTAAAATATTACAATTTTATTTTAAATGTGTTTATCAAAACAGCTCTGGGATTACAGCAACATGGGTTTTAATAATTGTACAAAGATGTGAACAAAATGTGGATATCAATTGCTTTCTTGATGCTAATGAAGGAAAGAAGACATTTCTCGTCTTTTAATAAAGAGATTCAGTATTTTGTCGGTCTTTTAAAAAGTTATTTATATCTGTGCTTTAAAGAATAAAAATGAATACAGCACCCATTACTTACTACCCAATTTATGGAACAGAACATTCAAAATTTATTGAATTTTTCCATTTGCAAGTTCTCAACTGCCTTCCTCTCAAGTTCTAGTTCCATTCCCACAAACGAGATCAACAAAAGACCTACTGGCCTAAATTGACCTAATCAATTTTGTGCTTTACTTTATAGTTTTGATATTTATGTGTATATCTCTAGACAACATTGTATATGCTTTTATTTTACCCAATTGATGTATATATTTTAAGTTCATTCCTCTACTGCAATATAATATTTAATAGGAGTACACTAATATACACCATGTATTTATTCTTCAGTTATTTTTGTATTGGAATTATTTTTAATGTTTAAATTTATGGAGAACAGTGCTATGAAGATTTTTGTACATATAACCTAATGTATATAAGTCAGTTTCTCAAGAGTATATATCTCCTAATGAAATTTCTGAGTCTTAAGTTATGTATGCTCTTTGTAGTAATAAGTTGTTTCCATAATGTTTGTATCTTTTTACATTACTATCAGCAGTGTGTTACTTCTTACTAACCCACATCCCTAATGTTTATTATTGTTAGACTTTTTAATTGTTGTCAGTCTAGTGGGTGTGAAATGGCATCTCATAGCAATTTTTATTTTGAATTATCCTGATTACTAATGAAGCTAGAGAAAAACTAGATTATAAAGACATTTTGAGGCCATCGGACTTTTGCATATTACTGTTCCAAGCATTCTTTTTTCTCATTTTTGAAAATTTGAGTTGATATATGTGAGACCTTATCATTCTATCCTACATAGCCATTATTCTTTTTCTAAAGTATTCTATTTATCTCAGTGTGGTAACTTCTATGGAATTACCTTAGCTTCATCTTCCACATTACTAATCCATGATTTAGCCATGTCTTATTTGTTATTTAAACCATCTCTTAATTTCCAATTTTAATTTTTTATGATTTTAGAAATTACTTTGCTATTTTTTCCAATCTGACTTCTTAATTTTAGTAGCCTCTTGATTTTTTTGTAAAATTTTTAATTTTTTCTTTTATTTCTTTAACATATTAAGCACAGTTATTTTGAAGGTCTTATCTAATAATTCCAAGATCTCTTTGAATTTGGAGACCAGTTGACTTTTCTTTTCCATTATGATTCCTTGTGTATATGTGTCTGTGTGTGTGTGTGTACGTGTTTGTTGTTGTTTTACTTTGTTTTATAAACTCAAGTTCTTTCAAATTTTAGCTTTGGTAATTTTGTAAGGCGTGGCTTTAAACATTTATTCACAGAAGATTTTTACTTACTAGCTTTAAATTTGTGCTAAAATATTTGAATTGTAACTTTTGAAGGTGGCTACATCATTTATTTAAAGGAAGATTTTGTATTTAGAGTGTTGTCAAATTCTAACATTTAGAAATTACTAAGTTGCCCATATGTTTTCAGTTTCTCACCTCTTTCATGTTTTCATAGAAAAGAAATAGCACATGTGGATTCTTTCTCAATTCCCACCAAGATTTTGCATGTTCATACCAGGACCCATAAGGAACTAAAATTAAAGATAAAAACAACATAAGGGCATAGTATCATCATTATACAGCTTGAAAATGAGTGTTAAAACAATAGTAGCAACAAATAAATATAAATAAATGATCAAGGAATGAAAACTAGAGGTCACACTTCTTAAGCAAATTTCCCTGCAGTGAGGCAAATTATGTTGAATAAACCATATACAGAAACATATCCTCAACTTCATGATGGCATGGTTTATGGCATAGAGAAAAAGTGAAGGAAATCCCTCTTCCATCAATTTGATTCAGAGCTTATGAAAGCATTTTTTAAACTGGTGTGGTGCAGTGTGTGTGTGTGTGTGTGTGTGTGTAAAATCAGGTTGTCAGTGAAGGGAGTTGAGTTTGTGAAACTATCAACATTTACACAGTAAGAATTCAGTGTAGGTCTCAAATTTGCCATTTATAAATTAGGCTTGGCAAATGAAACTATCAAGCATGTACTGGTTTATTACAGCAATTTCTCGATAAGGGGTGTTCTCTTAAGAAACTTTAGTGTCATTCTCATTCTTAAAAAGTTAGAAGATTTTGGAGATGATATGTTATGACCAATTGTTGTTTCTTCCTTTCTCTTTCCTTATCTTCTCTCATGGGTATACAAGTGTTTCATGCAATAAGAAGCTGACTGAATGATATAATATTGTGTGAGTGAAGTATTCTGCTTTACATTAAAGCATTGCATACCTCTTCTGTTCTTTGACTTTATTGACAATTTTTCTTTACAGAAAGAGTTATATAATGATATTTATATAATGATTTTATTCATCTATTTTCTGGAGGTGCAACCTTATCTTTCTCTGCCTTACTATGTGGGTTTGATGATCTTGAGGGATATATTTTATTCATGATGCTTTAACATAAATTTCCCAAAAGTAGCAACAGACGTAAAATACATTCTACTTTTAGTATATGTAAAAGTAGAATATATTTTACTATATTCTAAGCCTATGCTAAGCCTGATGAATATATTCTACTTTTATTGAGTCAACATTGCTTTCTATAGATATAAAACTTGCATGGCATCATTTTTCTTACAATTATTACTACAGGATGACAAAGGCCTTCCTCAGTTAATATTAAAGTCTCCAGAACCGTTTCTTCCTCAAATCTGAATATTCAGTTGTTTTAGTCTGGAGTTAAATAAAAAGGCAAAATTTTCCCAAATTTTTGTCCAAGTAACTCTTGTACTATTCTGAGAACTCTAGCTGAATCATCAGATTGTACACTGAGTAAAACGAGTAAGGACTTTGTAGATATTCAGTCTCCTTTGTGCATTCTGGCCCCTTGTAGCACCTAAAAATTTTCCTTGGAAACAAACGGGCATTCTCTCTCCTACATTCTCTTCCCCCTCTTAACCAACAGAGTTGTAATAACAATCTGTGAACTATCTTTCTAATTAAAAAAAAAAAAAGACAAGAGAAAGAATTGGACACCCAACTGTTACCTCCAACTCCCAAACATACTTCTGTACATTTATTTTTAGGCATTGAACTGAACTGTCCATATTTTGCAATTTGTCATCCACATCTGGAAACCCTATGCTTGCTCTAAAGTTCAAGGGCATCTAGAACTTCTGTGTTTTAGTTAAGGATCAGGCAAGATCACACACCAGGAAAGACAACAAAACTTTTTGATCAGAGATGCCATTTGTTTTGTACCATGTACTTTGAAAGAATTTAAAGAATAGGAGCTGTTCTTACCTTGTCCATCCATGAATTTCTCCACAAACTCTGGAAAAGATCCAGGATTTGGATGATCAGTTACCATTAGAAAGAAGTAGTAATAAGAAACAGCTACATCTTTGGCATTCCGGCAAAGGTAAATCATCTAAGAAGGTAAAAAATATTAAATTACCTATTTTTTCAAAGATGGTGCCATTAAGATTTAAAAAGAAAACATTTATGCTTTTCAACTATAAATATAATATATGTTCATTTTAAAAAGTGTATAAAATTCTAAGGAAGAAAAATTTTTGATAACCTGAGGCGACAGCATCTTTTGTAGTGTTATTTAACATTTGTTCTCACTTTTTCATTTTTATGCCACTTTCACAATATAACACCTCGTTTGAGTATCACAATTCCATTAATACAAATTGGGCCAAATAGATTATTACCCCCAATTTATAAATGAAGAAAGTAAACTGAAATTAGTCAGAATACATTATTGAGAATAAATCAATGAGAGTAATGATTCGGTAAATCATTTCATCAACAATAAAGTCCCCCAATCTTTATACTATACCAGTATTCTGTACATAAAGAAAAAAAAGTCCTGTTGTTTCCTTACTCACAATCTCAAAAAAAAATGTTTATGAGGGTCTATATGCACACTGATCTTAGTAAAAATGTAATCAAATATTTTCATGTAATCTTATATCAATAAAATATAATCACAAACACGGAGTTTCTGTTTTACCTATGGAGGAAACACCAAAAATTGACAATCAGAAAGCATTGGGTTTAGTTGCTAGTTTTGGCACTAAGAAATTCTATCATCTTGTGCAAAGCGCCAATCATTTTGGACCTAAATTTCTATCTACTAAACAAGTCAGTTGGGTCAGATCTCTATTCTCTCTTTTAGGTCAGATACTCAATGCTGCAGGAAAAGTTCTGCAAAAGAAAACTCCTTCTCCCTGTGGTCGTCCACTTCAGACCTCAGGCACCTGAGCAGTACCACCGGGGAAGTCTGCTCTTGACTTCTCCACTGTTGATTGGATATGATTAGGCTCATTAACTTATCTTACTAAAGTCTCAAACAATTTTAAAGAAATCTTCTATTTTATTCTTAGAATTATGGATCTCAATTTTAAGATCCCACTATAAAACCTCCAATTACTAATGAACAAAAGCAAACTTTCTTTTTCTTATCAAAGCTATTATTAGCTGTTCTGAACTTTTCCAATTTACAACTCTCCCTAGTTCTTTTTGCCTACCAGTTGAATGGAACTCTGTCACTATATCCATGAATTTATTTCAGAATTTTCACTCCTTTGATTTTTTCTTGCTATTACCTCTGTCTTAAATATTCTCTGCATGTCAAAATACTATCCATATTTAAAGTTTGGCTCCCAGTTTTCCATGAAGCCTTTTATTCTTCCAGGCTGGAGGGCAGGACAGCAAAAGCAATCCCTCTTCCCCCAAACTTTCATTGATTTCTCTTATATTTATTTTGGCAGATCCTATTCTATACCCCAAACTTTTTAGTGCACATGTTTTTCCTTACTAGATTTTAGTAAAATCTATCTCTTTCTTGAAGATATATTACTTTTACCACAGCTCTCAGTTTACTGTAATTCACTTGATCATAATTCATCTTTAAAATACTACATACCTCTCCTAGCTGATGACGTTTCTAAGTTTGCGATCATTCCCTTGATTTAATTAAAAGATTTTAACACCTGCCTCATAGTATCACTATTCCAAATCCTGTCATCATCCTGTGAAATTTTAGTATTTGTATGGATGATTCATCTGATTCTCTAGGTTCTTATACTCATTGATCATTACCTCTATTTTACGTCAGCCAACCACCTTTATAATCAGATTGTGAATCTTGTCAGTATCTTAAAGATTTCAGTTCTGGCGCCTTATCCTGCAGCATCCTGTTTTCTTCCAAGAAAGTTCTGCTCTTCCCTATCAGTTATTTCCAATATACCTTTCCTGCAACCACTCCTAAGCCTCAAATCTATTGCCCTCAATTATATATTATCTATTAACCTGTTTTCCCGCACTTTTTTTTATCACTTATATTTTCTGATCCACACCTTCATACATACTTTTACTAATAGTCTCAATCCATCTGTCTTCTTGTTCCCCAGTGAATCATCTTGGGAATACTCAGAACATAAATCCATCCAATTATTTACTACTTTTTGATGATCTCTGATATGGTAAGAAGTTTTGTGAAGATGGAGACTATTGTAAAAGCATAGTATCTATATTCATTTGAAAAGTTACCATCAAGACTATAATCCATTCTTCAAAGGGAAAAATATCTTGAAAAAATGGTAATAACACATTTAGAAAATATCCTGAAGACCATTTATGTATGGAATTTCAGCAGAATGTATGTGGACTAGCTAAGATTATTTAGGATAAAAGCAAACAAACAAACAAGAAACATTGAGATCTACAGAATTTTGGACCATGGATCTCCAGAAAAGATCAATTATATCATGTAATATCAAAGCACAAAATGGACATGTTTCATGACTGTGATAAATCTATTTTTTAATTAGTAATGATGGCATATAGTACTTTAATATCTCATATGTGTAGCATGGGTCATAGTGTATCCTAAAAAAAGCTAGAAAAGATGTTAAGGAACAGCTTCAGTAGTCCAAGACTTAATGTTTTGCCTGTACTTTGGGATTACTCATATGGATTTTTCTAAAAAGTGAAACTGATCATGTTCTTCATCAACTTAACATGTCTATAACATCAACTTAACATGTCCTCATTATCATCAAATGGAGTCCAAACATATTAACTTGTCTTTGACATCTGTGATAATCAATCACTAGCTTATCTTCCTTCACTCATCCAGCCTATATGTACATTTGACTGTCCAGCTAAACCAGTTTCAAATCCCCACTGGGTTGCCTCTGGGATTGTATAGACTAACCACTATACATTCTGCAAATATTAGCTGAGATATTATTTGTTCCTGATGCTTTCCCCACCCTCAAAGTCTAGTCTAGAATTCTTCTCTTACTTGACCTATGACGATGCATCGTCTGTCTTTTCTCCTCAATGGACTAAGTGCTTATGAAGACAAGGATTTCATGTCTTGTTAATTGTCATATTGGTGGTACATAATAGGCAATCGGTAACTAATTATTATATGGTATTTGTCAGGTTTATCCTTTTCTAGTTTATTTGCATTCCTCATAGTACCAAGCACAAAAGTTTGCAAAGGGAATACATTCAATACAATCAGTAATAACAACAAATGTAAAAGTAGCCACCATTTATTGTTTACAAAATACTAGGCACTATGTTAGGCAGTTTACAAGCATTATTTCATTCAAAATTTATAGCAGCTCCATGAGGAAGATGCTATTATTATCCTTCTCTTACAGATGAAGAAACTGGCTTAGAGAGTTTATTTGTATTTTGGTTTTTTTTAGAATCACCTCCAGAGTTGGAATTGAAATCTAGACATTCTGACTATACTGACTATAATTTACATTTATGAAATATTTATAGATTCAATGAAAGAATAAACAAACAAGTATGTATATGACACAGTTATGATTTGATCATTCTAAAATTTATTTGAGTTAGATAAAGTTTTAAGAATACTTGACTTTGGTCACCTTACAGTTCTTTTCCCAAAATGAGGTTGGAAGAAGCTTCACTGACAGATGAGTCTTCACTATTCTAGGAGATGCCATGTGTTTTAATTGTTCTATTCCTGATTTTTAAAAAAATAAAGGTTAGATAACCTTGAAAATTATAAATATTTATATGGATTTTATAGGTATTATTAAAATAGAAGTAACTTTAAGATTCTATAATATTAATAATAATAATAATAATAATAATATATGCTCACTATGACCAAAGTTTTGATAGAGGAAATAACAGAAAAACAATATATTCAAATAAAATTTTATCATTTTAGAAAAATTATTATTAACATTTTGGTAAACAGCTTTCTATATAAATATACCTACCTATATGCCCAAACCCATAGCCATTCAAATACCACACACAGAGGTAAAGTTTTTAATATTTTCTAATTACTGTTTGTTTTCAATGTTTTATACTAAAACTGCAATATCAGGAAATATATGACATCCTAAATTTTTAATTAATTTTATAGTGTTAATATATCATTTAAAAATATTCTTTTGTGACAAATATTTATGGTGTTTCTAATTTTTTTGCAACAGTAAAACAATCTGTAATGAATATCCTTTTGCATAGATCTTTAAAAAATGTATGGATATTTTCTTAGTGTTTAAAATATTATCACATTTAGCCCATAGAGAGATAAATGCTCACATATTACTAGACTCTACTAAAGATATATAAGACCTATTATTCACTCTTCTAGGCACATAATATACCATAAACTCTGTCAAGATTTAAATTGAAATTTACATGCTTTGCTATATAGAAGACATAATACTAATTTTCACTCTTGCTTACAGTCTCTTTCCTACATCTACACTTTAAAATATATGTATATACTTTTAAAATCAACTTAAACATTACCATTCATCACCTCTTCTTTTCTGCATTCCAGGAAAGGTATTCGATTAAAAATGACATCTCTTTTGCACTTTTCCACATCACCCTCTTTATAGATCAGGTCTACAATTTCACTAACCCAGGTTGTACCTGTAAAAATTAAACAATCTCGAGTCTCTTATTGACAATGTTGGGCTGATGATAGAAGGGATGAATTTATAGCTGGATAAAGTAGAATGATATCAAGCAATAGTATTTGAAAGATGTCACAATGGTCACGGGACTCAAGAATTATTTTCTGTAATATTTAATCTTATAATACTCTAAAATAACTTCAAAAAATAAGAATGAATATTATAGTAAAACTTACCTGTGATAGGAGTTTCACTTTGTCCATGATAAATTGTGACATTGTGCAAGATGATAACAATTTGGATCTAAATTTTTATCTTTGAAAAGTAAAGAGGCTTGAATAACAGAAGATATACTCAAGCATTCTCTCAACCACAAACTTTACTGATGGCTTCTTATGCCTCAAGTTGAGTGTTAGTTCGGAGGATACAAAAAAGAATAAATCTGGTCCCTGCCCTATGTTGATTAAAGGTCCTTTGAAGAGTCAAAAACAATGTTCAATAATTACATTTCTTTTTTTTTTTTTAATATTATAATACAGGTGGGCACAGGGATTTAAGGGACTGCAAAGGAGGAACATCTAATTCAGTGTGCTGCTGCTGATGCAATGTTTCAACAAGAAATGCCTTTACAAGAACATAATAATTGAGCTTAGCCTTAACAAGTTACTGGCATAAATTCAACTGTTTTGTGAGGTAGGGAAGAGTTTTACCAGGCAGAAGAACTGTTTTTTTTTTATTTTTTATTTATTTTTTTTATTATAGGTCAAATACTGAAGAGTAGTAGAGTGGTGAGGAAAAGAACTGGAAATAGATTGTAAAGTCTAAATCAAAGAGTCTACCTGATGAGGCTATAGACAAGAGACAGCAAGCATAAAATGCCTTGTAGTTCATACTAAAGAGTTAGAGTTATGTGTGCGGCTCAGTTATAGGTACATTTAGTGAACCAAATGACTAAATGACTAAAAGGCTTGACATAATTTAAATAAGAGAACTACAGGCATTTCAGTTCATACTAAAATGACTAAAAGGTTTGACATGATTTAAATAAGAGCAAGATTATCAGGACTGTGTTTTAGAAGAAGTGGCAGAGTAAATAAAACAATGGAGTGAGGAGTCAATAAGAGAGACTAGACACTTGTAAGAGATTGACTATGAAACATGTCTATAAGACAAAATGGGAAAAAATTTTTGATTGATTGAATGTGGGAGATGAAGAAGCAAGAAGAAGTGAATCTGAAATAGCTCTCAGGTTTCTTCTTCAGATGACTGGTATTGAATTGACATTGATTCTGACAGGGAAGAGAAATGGAGGAACAGCTGTAGAGTCAGAGTAGCCAGACATATTTAGTGTTTGACATATTTAAGTGCTAAATGGAACACCAAGAGAGAGAAATCTGAATTGAACCATTCTAATTCCTTAAGGTCTATGATTATACGACTCCGACTCCGAACTAAAATTAACGGTTGAGCTAATCTCAGAAAAAAAGGATGTTGCTTAAAAATAAAGTTATGGAAGCTACTCTTCTTTAATAAATCTACTGCTTGGCTTAAAAATTGATTAATTAATTAAAAATAAAGTTTTGGAGATAGACTTATAGAGAGAAACTGGTTAGCTAAAAAAGATGTTTTTAAATCTGTGAAAATTGCTTATACTCTGTTTATACAACAATGACAATAATGATATAAGGTAAACAGTTAATAGTTTTAAATTTTAGTTATGGTTCAATACTCATCCCTCTATATCACATAATTTTCTAAAGTGGCCAACAATGCCCATTTTTTAATGCACGGCTCAGTTATAGGTACAGATTATAGTCTTAGAATAGAGCTATTATATGTCACTTTTTCTGTCTGTATCAAAACTACTATATCTTTCCTTATTTGACATGGAGAATATGTGTGCAGGAAGTGAACAATTTATATTTACCATTCAAGGTAGGTTTGTCATTTCTAGGAGAAAAGGAACAACTTAGACATAACAGGGAGACTGACCAGATTTAGGATAGGTGACAATGACAAGATCATCTGGTCTTGCCTCAAATGCCTCCACATCATCCCAATATTTGACAAAATCTTTATACATTAGAATTCCATGGACTCTGCCAAAGTATTCAAAGTAGTCATGTTTGGAAGAATCCATCATAGAGTGATACACTGAAAGAAAAAAAAAAAGACATGTTTTTCATTTGTATTTACTTCAAAATGTTTTAACAATAATAGCTCTGTATACTGAGTTCTCTTGTCTATTATTTCTTACCTATTGAATGTATGGGGTAAATGTATTTTAAAGAAGTATATAACACAGTCTTGGTGCTTTAAGAGTTTCTAATCCTATTAAGGAGATCAGTCTAACATATAAAAGAATGATAAAGCACAAGACTTTATAAAGTAAAATGTTTAAAACTGCAAAAATATGTAATACATTTATATTATCATAATAAATAAATGTTTATTTATTTATTATATTATGTATACATAATATTTATATATAATAAATTTTGTAATGAATGAAAATGATAGAGGCTTCAATTTTTCTGTCGAAATTGCTAGGCATAGAAAAAGACTAAAAGGTTAAGAAATACAACAACATTTTGGCAAAGAATCACTATGATTAATTATGTCTACATTAAAAACAATAAAGGTTGACGGTCCCATTTGATGGCTGTCACCAGATCTCAAAGTCAGAGCTTCCTTAGTTCCTGAATATTTTTCATTTAAGGAAAAAATTCAAGTGCTTTGTGAATGTATTTAGAAGATGAAATTAATGGCACTGTAATGGATATCTAAGACAAGGATTCTTGAGAGTACAGAAGATTCCTTTGTGACTTCTGACATTACCTTTACTTTTCTCTCTCACTTAATCATCAGTAAAGTAGTAGACACTCCCATTGAGTGATTTGTCTGAAAGTTACAAAGTTAATAAAATGGTTGTCATTTGATAATTCATCTCCTGATCCTGTGACAACCCATTTCGTGTTCAGGGTTAGTTGTAGAATGTTTAATTAAGCAAACTTTCTTTCAACTTCTTTTATTACCATTTCCCCCCAACTTACTCAATTTTGAGTTTATGATCATAGAATCTCAACAAATTTTGTCTTTTTTTTAACATTATCCTTTCTAGACCTCCTTTTTATTCACCCTTGCTTCAAGAGCTGCCTGGTGAGTTGTTAAGCACTCACATATTTGTGACTCTGTAGCTTTTATTGTGTTTTTCAGAGAGTTTGTATTATAACAACAGGAAACTCTTGTAAGCAATAGTTCTTTTAGCCATCTATTGTGTTTCCTTTAATATAGAATTTCAATCTGTGAGAGGAGCATTGCAAAGAGGAGATAAAATTAGTAGATACTGTAATAAATGGATTAACCCAAAGGAAAAAATATCAAATGGTAAAATTTTTAAAAGATAAGTGTCCTACAAATCAAACCAAATAATTAGACCATTGATGTATACTGAATGCTTCTTGTAGTAGTTTTTTCCCCACTACATTTCTAGGCTGCACATTACAGAGGAAAACTTTCAGTCTCTGAACTCTCTCATCAGCATCTGACACTAAAACCCATTGATTCCATCTCTGTTATTTTCCTCCATATTCTATCATTATGGTCACTGCCCTACTTAGAAACCTCTCCAACCATTGATTGAATATGAAAATAGCCTTCCAATTGTCCTTCCTGTAAAAAATGTGTATCTCCTCTTTCTATAACCACTAGAGAAAGGAAAACAAATGTTATTTACTTACTTTGTGCCAGATTTAAAAGGCTTTATTTTAAAATCTTATTTATAAGTCACAAGTTTCTATGAAAAAGCAGACATTGTTACCAATTAGGTTAAGTTTGTTCTGCATGAGACTCCTTGAGGATGGAACCATATTTGTCTTATATAAGGAAGGATAAATATTCACATGTTTATGCATACATGTAAACATGTGCATATAACTATTCTTATTTTTGACCCAATTGTTAAAAATTTAAATAATATAGAGAAAATGAAAGTTCCCTCTTTACTCTCAAAAGATAATCACTCTAAATAGCATTGTATTTATGCTTCCAATTATTTAAAGATATATTAAAATTTACACACTTATATATATGCTTTGTACTATATTTCACATTAATTTGTAACCTATTATTTACTGAACTATATAATGTGGACATATTTAGGTGTTGATATGTAAATTCTCTTATTCTTATAAATGACACATATTAGTCCATAGTATGAAAGTAACAGAGATGATCCAATTCTTTAATGATAAAAATTCCTGTTTTATCTAAGTTTTTTGAATTAAGTAGTACTTAATGTTTTTGAGCATATGTATTTTCACACATTTTTTTACAGTGCCAATAGAATTACTAAAATAAAAATTATACACATGCAAGGTACTGATAAATATTTTTAACAAATCACTGAAATATTGTACAAATTTGACAGTATATGAAATTGCTTTTTTCTCACATCCTCACCAGTACTGGAATTTATTCATTGTAATCTTTCATAATTGAATATATACATTTAAATTTATATTTCATAGATATTTTATAATTTTTTATGTTTTCACATTTTGTAAGTTTATTGGTTATTTTAATCATTTTAACTCATTTTGCTCATCAGGAATATTGCTTTTTCCTAACTGATTTATAGTTAGTAATTTATTAATGATTTATATGTCGAGGATATCTGTAGTTTTTCCACCTTTTTAACGATATATAGAATCTTATTGTTCATATAATCAAATGTGTTAAATTTTTGCCTTATGATTGATATGGTTATCTAAATATTTAAATGTGCTCATATAATGAGAAACACATGTATTAAAAGTTTATATATTTATATTAATTTATATAATTAATGTGTACATAATAGCAAATAGTAATTAAAAGTATGGGTTCTAACGTAGACCATCTTGTTTTAAATCCTAGCTTTGCTTTTGGAAATTGTATGATCTTGGCAAATTAATTTGACTGTGCTCCATTTTTCCCATCTACAAATTGAGGATGATAACAATGATAATACCTGAAAAAATTATCAGGAATTAAATGAGTGGATAAACCTGGCCAATTACAAATGCTTAATAAATATGAGCTTTTGTTGTTATTATGCCACATCTATTTGATAATGTAGAAGAGTCAGACACTTGGACTCTCTCAGTAACAGTATACATTATATGGTAATATCCCTGTTCAAAGCAGAGGAGATATTTGTTGTCCAAAAAATGACCAAGAATGTTAATGTAAAGTTATCCAGAGAAATTCATAGTCAGTGATCTGGTTTTTTTTGTTGTTGTTGTTTGTTTGTTTTTTACCGGAGAGGGTAAAAATGTCCAATGCGAATTTTGAATTTTGTTCCTGTTTATTTGTCTAAAGTTCTCTGGGACAACCTGGTATGTGATTCATTTCATTTGGGCCCCAGATTGCACAACAGAAGAGAGACACAATAAAAGAGGTTTTTTTATTTGTTTGTTTGTTTTTAACCACAAAACAGTTTAACATGTGTCTTGAAAACCACAGAACAACACTTGTCATGGCTGTTATTACCCTAAGGGAAAAGTATCCCAATCCACAGAGAAACTCAACTTTTTCAAAACCTCCCTCTCAGATATACCAGATATAACATCACCAAGATTATATTTTGATTGAAAATCAGTCTTGTTGATAAGTCAGCTTGTTTCTCAAAATGTCTGTTGCTCTCAGAAAAAAGAAAAAATGTGGTGAAAGTCATAGTTCGCCCAGCCTACTGATTTGTTTATTCATGTGAACAACTTTCTTGGTGTTCTGCCAAGTCTGTAAGAATTGGCTTATGGTCAATTGAGAGTAGCCAACTTATCATTAAAGAGTTGGCTGACTTTTGACTGCCCCTTCATGATCAATTTTAGACTCAGAGTTAAACCTTGTTGCATATAATAAAATCTCTTTCTTTGTTTAACTACTTTTGGTAAATTATCTCATATCACAATGTATGGACACACCCTCTAGCTGCTCTCTTCTTTCTCAAAAGATGTATTTCACTTAGAAATTGTCAATTTTATTCTCTGAGTATGTAGGTTACCTTTGTCTAGAAACATCAACAAAACTATGGTTAAAACTGTGATTAATAAATTCAATTGAATTCAGAAAGAGTTTCTTCTTCTTTTTCTCTACATTTCTTCTGTTCTTACTCTTTTTTCTCTCCCCACCCCTTTTTTTTTTTTTTTTTGTCCTTTTCTCCTCTATCCTCAAGCCTGCCTTTCATCAAGCAAATATTCTCTGTGTGAGTTCCTACTTTACCCCCAGGCTATGATACCATGATAAGTACAGGTACATAAGGCTCACTCAGTCCTCACCAGTTTGGACTTACTTGGATTTGAGTAAAGTAGCTAAAACCAGAGAATATTCTTTTGTACATTATTCTATCTCAGGCCTCAAAACTGTCATAAAGTAGATGTTCAAAAGCACTCATTAAATTGGTTGAATCAAATCTCTCTAAGTTCTCTAGTTTCTACTAAGACTCCTAAATAAAATAGATACTATCCTGCCAAAGATCTACCAGTCAATGATTTACCAAAGACTTGTATTTCTGTTGTATTTACCCAAAGTCTCTCACTTAAAAGTGACAGTAATGTTTGTATGGCCCATGGTAGTTAATAGGCAGCTTCTGACATATTTCACACAAGTAAACACCAGAAGTCAGTCTTCATGCTGTTTCTACCTTGCTTGCTTTGTTTCCTCATCAGTAAAATTGAGAACATGTACAGCAAGAAAGACTTACAAGGTAACTATGATACTGCAGTTTTATATTAAATCTCTTTAAACAGCAAAGGACTACATAAATGCAAGGTGTTATTTTTAATGACACACAAGTGATTTAAAAAGGCTTTAAACACCTTACATTATTAAGCGACTAGAGTATTGATAAAGACTTTATTCTTTCTACATTTCTTTTTTGAACAGCTTCATGCTATACAGTTTGCATTTATGTTTCCTACATCTAAATCTAAATATTAACATCAGTAATAATAATAAAAATACAACCTGTCCAGATGATCCAGTAAAAGAAACCGGGTGATCCAATGTAGTTTTCCTCAAATTCCCACTCAGATTTTAAACTGCAAAAAAAGATGAGAACCACTTGTGCATTTGGAATGTTTCTGAGGAGCTTTTATTCCAAAGGCCAGAG